AAATTGGCTTTGTTTGCAAAGTAGTTAGTAATCAGCAGATCTGCAAATGAAGGCAATCAAGCAGCAACCAACAATCGGATATCATGTTGGGCATAACGTTCAGTACTGATCAGCGATCGACAACACTCCTCTCCTCCAAAGAAAGTCCCTCCCAATCAACCAAGGCCGTATAAGAGCAATTAACCCCTCCATACCACCACCCAACATTCTCCATAGCCCTTTATTGTTCGCACGTCCTCACAAACACAACACACTCCATTGAGCTCTCAGCAACGTCATGAATAATTTCGAACACGGCGCTCACCTGGCACGCGGCTTTTTGCGAGCGCATCTCTCGCTATCAGGCTGCAAAAACAGGTGTGCGGAGGCGAAAGGGAACGTTGTCTTGTCTTTGGGTCAGGAGCGCGAGCTCAGGTGTCACTGAAGGCGCCTTGGGACGTAGCTCTGCGCAGAGGCGGAGGCAGGGGTGGGAAGGGGAGGCGCAGAGGTGTGTGCGTGGGGGGAGGGGGAAGGAGGACGTAGAATAAGTGTTGTTGTTTTGATGTAAACCGTAATTATTTCATTCATTTTTATTATTTGATTTCCAAAAAGATCAAGGGGCAAATAGAGGAAGAGATGTGCAGAAAATAAAAGTGGAGAATGTATAAAACAAGAGAATGAGAAACTGGCAAGATGGCAGGCACATAATCGTAAGAGCGTGACTACAGTGAACTGACACGATTATTTCGCCAAGAAGTAATGTCATTTACATCCATAAACGACTAACTCTTCTACCTCCATAAATTTCCTTTGATGTTGCAAACCCCACCCACATCTCTCACTTCCCTCTCCCTACTATCTCCCCCCTCTCTCTCCCTCCCTCCCTCTCTCTCTCTCCCTCTCCCCCCTCTCTCTTTCTCTCTCTCCCTCTCTTCCCTCTCTGTCTTCTTTCTCTCTCTATTTCTCTCTCCCTCCCTCCCTCTCTCACTCCCACTCTCTCTTCCTCTCTCTCTCTCTCTCTCTCTCTCTCTCTCTCTCTCTCTCTCTCTCTCTCTCTCTCTCTCTCTCTCTCTCTCTCTCTCTCTCTCTCTCCTCCATTCTCCTCCGTGCAGCGTTAGGTATGCAGCCGAAGCACGCACAAGTAACGGATACCTCCCGAACGATTGCCTCACGCGCAGAGTGGGCCTCCCTCACACTTCCTCTGGGGCCGAAGTGGTTCTTCATTGGTGTTTGAACGTCTAGTTAGTGTCTAATTAAGCTGGGCTGCTTGTGCGAAGGGAATGTTGGGTAATGTTCATACTTGGAGTGGTTAGTTGGTGAGTAAATGTTTCCGCAAAAGTGCGTCATATGTTTGGGTTTGACACATGCTGTATGGAGGAAAGGAATACGTTACCAAGTACATGTTTCTAAAACCTTAGGAAACAGCCAAACAGTTGTTTCGACAAGAAAGGCAAATTTTGGCGGCTTTTGCATTTGGTATAAGGCACAGTAAGGTAAGGCATTCGCAAAATACTGCAGTATTGATTAATGAAACGTGATGCTAGTTAAGCTCGAACGGGTAAGTGCACTTTTCTTTACCTTGTAACGTATAGTTCAATAACGCGCGCTATAAATTAGAGCCAGCCCGTGGAATGAATGATTCACCAGAATACGGACATGTCCCGTATCAGCAGGCCTATCCCCCCCTCTCTCTCTCTCTCTCTCTCTCTCTCTCCCTCCCTCCCTCCCTGTCCTTCCTTGGTCGTCCTTGAGTTAGTGCGTACCACCGCGCCCCCAGGGAACTTCCCCTGCACGGGCCGGGTGAAGGATAGGATAGGGATCGGCAGGGCCGGATGTCGGTGACTCAGTGACCTTCGAGAGCACACAGTGCTTTGCCCTCCACCGACTGAACATCCACCGTGCGCCGTCTACTCTCTCAATGTGTACCGTGCGCTGTCTTCTATCCACTGGCCATGACAGTCAAATGTCCAATGTGTACCGTGCACCGTCTGGCGTCTTCTATCCACTGGCCACAGTCAAATGTCCAATGTATACCGTGCACCGTTTTCTATCCACTGGCCACAGTCAGAAATCCAATGTGTACCGTGCACCGTCTTCTATCCACTGGCCACAGTCAAATGTCCAATGTGTACCGTGCATCGCCTTCTATCCACTGTCCACTGGCCACAGTCAAATGTCCAATGCCCACCGTGCACCGTTTTCTATCCACTGTCCACAGTCAAATGTCCAATGTGTACCGTGCACCGTCTGGCGTCTTCTATCCACTGGCCACAGTCAAATGTCCAATGTATACCGCGCACCGTCTTCTATCCACTGTCCACAGTCAAATGTCCAATGTGCACCGTCCACTGTCTACTGCTTACTGTTCACCGTCAACTTCAATGAAACTACGCTGCAGTCATTGTAGCTTTGATATTTGCTCGAACAAAACGTGGCATCATAATAAGCACACGAATGAATTAGTGTTGACTGTTGCCGCTTCAATGTAACTATCACAAATTAGTTGCCCTACGATATCTGCCAAAAGTCCACTTCCGTCGTTCGTCTACGTTCTTATCTTAGGATGCCGACCCTTGCATGCCTTGCCTTTTCTTGCTCTAGTTTTGCGTTCTTCACTTGCCTCACTAGTCTAAATATAGACATTATCTGATGATGTTCAGCTCTCTGAAAGTGCAGACTCATTCACTCCTCTAATGCCATCTCAGCAAGACACCTTACACCTCTCACCGCGGGTTCCTTTGAGTTTGAAGCTTCTGCAGGCGTGTTCAACGTGAAATGCAAGCAGCTTGGGCGAGAATTTGAGTGATGATTCGGCAGTTTTTTTTTTTCCAAATGGAATGTGGCGGGTTAGCTTCTGTGCTACGCAAAGAGGTCTGTGGTGTGGACGGTGGACAGAAGACGGCAGATAGTGGACGGAATAGGTACGGTGAACGTTGATCTCAAAATAGTAGTTATGCATGCTGCATAGCCTAGACATTTGATACCCGCTACGTGATCTACTACGCGGAAGCTCACACATAACTATCATTCAAGTGATGAGTAAATGGAGTTCTAATTTCCCATCGGTGTAAGCAATTAGTTTCGATATTATATACATGGTGTAAGGCAGTGTAGTACATATACATATATGCAGCAATCGGATAATATTGGAATAAAAACACTGAATAACATTATCAGCCTCATTTCTCTGCGAATTCGCTAGTATTACGCTCACACCTCTGAATGCAGTTTCCAGTGATATGTTCTTGTCCATTCCTGCAGTCTCTGTATGAATTACATTCACGCGAATGGTGGAGACTGGAGAGGATATCTTGTTAGTCACTCCTGCAGTCCCCGGCGCTCGGCCGCGCGACATGGTGGAGTCTTGTTCGGGCGTTGCAGTATCTCTTCTCTGGACGCAATAGTGAAGGCTTTGGCATTTGAGGTTTGTACTCCGTGGGCTGACGTCAGCGGTCTACATATGTAATAATGGGTGGTTCAGTTGGGGTGGGTGCTTGTGAGCAGCAATCGCCAGGCCATGTGTGGATCGCTCATGATAGCAAATACATACAAGCATGTATGCAAGTTCATTACCGAAACGTCACAACAAAAACGCCAACAGGAGCGGGCGCTAACGGCAAACACATTTTCTCATTCCCTGCTTCTGTTTACTTCCAGATCTTGCCACATTAAACAGTGAACACCTTAGCCGCACCGGCGTAGCCTAAGGTGTCTCGGCCAAGTCTCGGCCACGCACATTCCAGCTCCCCCACCACCAATCTCATTTGCGCGCACTTCCCTGCCCTGAGGGCATGAATAAATTATCGACTCAGCTGCACGTGAAATGCCGCAGGCGCCGCCCTGGTTTTCGAACAATGAATGGGACAAAAGCACGAGTCATTCGGGACCCGCAGTGCTTTTACGAGGGAGTAGTGGGGTAGTGATTAGCTACGAAAGGGGAGAGGTAAAAAGGTGGCTTGACGGAAAGTTATCTTTGAATTTTCTCGGAATGTGGAAACCAGGCGTGGTATAAGACTACAACAAATGTATCACAATGGGGAAATATGCAACTTTGTAACAGCTCTTGTGACGTCTTTTGATATATGTAAACATCAAGGACAGCTTTCCTGATCTATTGAAAAATATTACCGAGTCACCTACAACCTCATTCATCATTTGAGCACACCCTTTCACCAAGTAACAACTTAGACGTAGAGCTCATGTTCGAAGTCATAACATCGGAATATGGGACACGAAAAGAAACATAAAAACATGTTCGATGAATCGTTAAAAACTTCCTTCCCAATTCGGAAAACTTCATGATCTAACAACTCGCCACTCAGAATAAAAAATTATTGTACGCTCGATTGATTAAATTACGAATCAAAAATAGCACAACATAAAAATCTCCTTTCGTGTTGGGAATTGTCAAATCGTCATCCTTCAGTGCAAAGTGCACAACTTAAACTCCCCTCAACTGGAAGCCGTGGAGAACTACTAGCACCTAGGTACTCACTGGGTGTCGAGAGCCGTGGCTTAGCATAACAGCTGACGGATTATAGCGGGCTTAGAAAGCCTCTGCAGCGCCGAAATACTCATGGAATGAAAGGGAACGCAGTGGAGGTGGTTGTGAATGTGTTGAAGGAAAAATCGGCGTTACGTCTGGCACACCTCAATGCTTTTTATCTAAAAGCCTTCAACATTAAGTTCATAGTTATAATCGTGAATATTTGAAGGAAGTATCGGCAGATTAACGTTTAAGCTGTACTTACTAATTGAATACCCATGCACTTGCAAAATAGAAATAAAATGCAGTCTTTCATTTATTGATAAAATTTGAATGATGTTAATTTTTTTTCCTTGCAAGTTGCAACAGTGTATTGCATACGTAAATTTTTAGGTAGAGCATAGATGCGCCACTCTTAACCATGTAAAGACAGATCAACACACATTCTTTTGAACCTAGCGAAACGAATACTACTTACGTTTAACGTTCAAAAACAGATCTTATAAACCATACACGATAAACGATGTCGCTTACAGCTCAACCACCGCTCGGCAGCAGAGGAGCGGATAGCCGGCGAACGACCAACCGACGCGACAGCCGTAGCGGGCGGCAGCCGTATGTACGGGCGGCCGGGGCGGATCTTGTCCTTGCATAGAGCCAGGGGCAGCAGATTCCTTCGCGGTCGGCCCGGGAGTGAAAGTGTGTATAAGGGGGTCGCACCACGCGGGTGCCGGCGAGTTTGGTGCGTGCCGGCCGGTGAGGAGGACAGCAGGAGGACAGCAGGAGGACAGCGGGAGGACACCGAGAGGACTGAGGACTGAGGACCCGGGAGAGCTGAGGGTCCTGCGGGTTCTCAGGAGGACACCATGAAACTGTTTACGGTGAGTGATTATCATCGTTAAGGGCTACTTCATTTGTGCTTATTTGTGATATAATTAGTGGCAAGAGCATTTGATTTTTAATTTAAAGAGCCTTGGGGTTAACAGTGTTGCGGGATTGTTTAGCATTATGACCACATTTTCATGATAAGCCGGTGTAAATTACAACTGTTTCCGATTTTCCAATAATAATTTAACAACCAGCATCTCAATTGCAACTGAATAGGAAAGACAAAGAAAAGCCAAGAAATGCTTAGAACTGTGCATGAAGTAAGCGTGCATAACACCACTTCACATGCCTATAAAATCGGAACATTTCTTCTTTGATATGATCATCCCAAAAAGCCTTTGCCTTCAATTCAAATAGATGTATGTTTCCTATCTATCATGAGCGCTTCAGGATATCCGCCAAGGGTCATGCAACATACAGAAACCATGCGAATTTGATTTATTTAAGAGTCGCCAATATGAAGGATAACCGATAAGCATTAATTGCGAGGTGACATCATAGTTAATTCATTATTTGTCTAGGCGAATGCTCAGTGATTTGATGTCGTTCAAATTAACGACAAAAACCCCAATGCAGTGATGTGTTTTCTCTCACTGTATACCTATATTTTCGATGGACTTTACATTAGTACCTACTGAGTGGTAAATTTGTATATTATACGTATCATTGCTAACACCGTCATGCCCATCCGCCTATATATGGAACACACATAGTCTTTTTTTTTTAAGCGAGCAATAAGTCAAATATTGAAACTTTTTGGTCTTAGTCAAATAACTAGGCAACTATTTTCCGCCATCGCCTTGTACTTGGAGTCGCTTTACTCATCGAACTTCGAGAGGCACGCAGATAATTGGCTACTATAGTTTTTTCAAACCCACGAAAGAACAGATTCAAACCGTCACCGCCGTTAATGCACGCGCCCTTTTATTGCCTGAGATATGTCCGAGAACATTTCTTTCACGGCTTCTCACAAAAATTGTTTCCGAATCATAACTTTCCAGTGACCGAAACACGTGCAAAGTGATTCATTCGCTTCAACTCCGTTTTTTCTTACTTTTGTCAGACTACAATAGAGCACGGGGAATGGAAATGATAGAAAAAAAAAAACATTAAGCGTACTCCGGGGTGTTACAGTCTGGCAAACCTAAGAAAGAAGGGAGATAAAGCGCCTGAATCACTTTGCACGCGTTTTGATTACTTAAAATGTATGGTTCGGAGAAATTTGTGTGAAAAGTTGTTACAGAACATATGCTCTCACAATATAAATGTACATGCATCAACGGCCGCAGCACTTTAAATCCATTCTTTCTTAGGTTTGCCAGACTATAGTAAAGTTATCCTGTTTCGGAATGACACTGAATTAAAAAAGCATCCGGAAGGTCATTTGCTACCAACGATAAAAGCATCAAATGACACGCGTTCCCTCGTAAAAAGGAGTCACGTGGTTGTGCAACCCCACGCGACTCACGTTCTTTCAACACCAACACTCGCACTGTCCTAGAAAAACGTCTAGTGGCCTCGTAACCACGTGCTATTTTTGCTCTGCGGACCGCCGAAAAACGGCGGCAAACACATCGGTAAAGGCGCGGCTAGCAGCGGATTCCGATGCGCGGCTTCACTGGGATGGTAACTCTCTAATCCCAATGGTTAACTTCTCTTGGAGTGGTATCGCTTTTGCGGAGAGAGGTTCGACAAAAAGGGGTACTATAGTGATGTCTTCATCTCCTCACCTCAGTTCTTGAAAGGTTCATTAATTGAACCTGTAGGTAAGGTAATTCAGTCTTTTTATAATTGATCGATTTTTATGTCTTTATTCATTGTATCAGACTAACCAGGACGGTTTAAAATTGAGTCAGGGCCGTTTGTAATATACATATACATTGACCTAAATGTCGTTTGCGTCATTTGGCACGGCACTCAACAACGACATTTGATACATAAAGACAGTGATGTAGGTAAATACAATACAACAGACCACACATTTTCAACACCTTTGGTAAGGTGTTTCGACACCTCTTGTGCTTAGCGACACGAGTGTAAATATCCCATGCAAGAATGATTGGGGACATGCAAATGAAGCACTCTTACGAAAGAGTCGGTACTGCAAAGTGCGGGTTCAAATGTGACTGAATGGCTGTTTAGTGTAAGCTATGAGAATGTCTAGAGACGGGTTTAGGCGTAATGTGTTAAACGTGAAAGTTCATATGCTAGTTGAAGACGGTTAGTACTGTTAAGATAAGTAAAGGACCATTACTATGTGACAATTTAATCAATTTTGAAGTGAAAAAATTGAAAACATGCGGGTATTAGCCGCTTTCACGACGGCTATCTCATACGTTTGGTCATATCTAGTGCGATTGATCAAATTAGGTTCATAGTTGATGCTTGTTGCTGTCTTGGTTCAATTAGTTGCGTATATACTTTATTTTTCAAATAATCAGACATCATTTTCAATCAAAACATTGAAAAAGTTGCATGCTATAATATATGTGTGGTAAAAGAAATTTGGTTAGCTTTGCTCAGGTTTGCTGCATTCGCTTGGGGACCCGTCGGGAAAATGGCTATTATTGCATCAGCAAAATCAAAAACTCATAAGGACACCTTAGAAATAGTTAATTGATTCGTAAGTCTAGTTATAGTATTTAGAAACGCCATTTATAGGATCACATTCAATGCTGAAAGTATGAAACCACCGGTAGATTACTGCTCTGCAGACACCACTTTTCATATATGGGGCATTCCACGTCAAATCGAACAAAAATCGGCTGTTTTGCACCTTACCATCAGCGATTTCATTATAAATTTGTGAGCGAGTTCCTGTGTCGCCCCGGACATTACATTGATGTTTTTTGCACATTCTGACCACAGGTCTTCTAAATAAAGGGCATCAAATTTTTACAAAATGTTGCATCTTTATATTTTTGAACGACCATAACTTTGGTTGTACTTGTTTGATTTCAATGAAATAAACCTTACTGTTTAGGTAATTCCTTAAGCATTTGTTTAGAATTGCATCGACTTAAATATATGACCTTGAAATTTGCTTAACTCTGTTCTTAAGCACAAAAATTGAAATAGCAAAAAACACGCCACCTTCGATTTGGCTCATTTTCATATATTTTATTGCCTACCATATTCTTAACAACCTGTGAAAAAATTAGAGTGGGCCATTCATAAGTTTTGAAGAAAATGGCACATATGCAAACGTATGTTAGCACGCGCAGTGGAGGGGGAAGAGTGAATTTCGCCCCACCCCTCCTGTTTTTCGCCAATATCTCATAATATTGATGCGAAATTACCTATGGCTACCTGTCCAGAATTGAATTGCACATCTCATCGTGCAAGCAATAAGAAAATCGGTTCACAACTGTTCTAGTAATAGCGGTGTAAAGTGAACATCCTGTCGCCGCGGCGACGCGGCGACTCGGCAGCCGGCGCCGACCGCTACGCGCCGCCTGAATTGTAGACTGTGCCGGGACGGAACGGAACGGTTCCGTCTTTACATCGCGCTCCTTACCGCTGATTACGTTCGATTCGCGTCAAATTTTGTGAGAAGACTAAGAAATGTACAGGCAATCTTATGGTGAAAGAATTCTGAAAATAGGTTGGTAAACAATTGAAATATGAACGTGTAAACACAAAATTGTGACTGCTGCGTTTCCCGCGTCGGCCGATCCCGCCTCAGCCGGCGACATGTTACTCTTAGCAGGATTCTAACTGCCATATTTATTATCGAATTAACTAGAAATTCCCCATACATACTCAAAAATGTATGCTCTTTCGTATAGTGAAGATCAAAAGACGTGAAGATATCGTTGCGTGATAATGTTTTCGTTGAATTTATTTCATGATGCATTTCCACACGGCTCAAAATTCACCGCAAAATACCGTTTGCCTGAGACACTTTTACAATGGAACGTGAATGCTTGACTACGATGACTATGCATTACCATTCTCGCAGAGTTTGGGATATCACTAATCAGCAATCATTCATTTCAGAAAGTGTACACAAGCAAGCATGTCTTGACTCTGTCTTTCAAGGTCACGCGCGGTTGCGTGATGTTGATGCATGAAAACGGCGTTTGCCGCTAAAGTTATGAATGGCCCACTCCAATTTTTTTCACAGATGGTTAGGAACATTGTGACGGACATAATATGTAAAAATTACTCAAATCGAAGGTGGCGTGTTTTTTGCTATTTAAATTTTTCTGTTTTAATTCAAGGTCAAATGCATTTCAAGGTCACTTCAATTTAATTTTATAATTAAAAATCAAAGCCTTATCAATTGCCTACAAGACCCTGTTAATATCATTTTGATACCAGAAAAGGAACCAGAGTTATAAGCATTTAAAAAAAAAATGATGTGTGGCATTTTTGGCTATATTCGATGACCTATATCTCGGCGATACGTTATCAAATTTTGAAAATATTACACGTAACTCAGTTTTGAACCATGCCCAGTCTGCCTACAAATTTTCAGAAAAATCGAAGGGGATGACGGATTTCGGTGTTTGATTTGACGTGGAATGCCCCATATGTCATATACCCAATCTCTTGACAAACGGTCGTCGGGATTTATCGTATAATCTAACTAACCTAAGAAAGAACTGATTTACAAGGTATCCGCTGTTGATGCACGTGCCAATTTGTTATTACCTACAGGCTACAATATATCCTAGAACATTTTTCTCACGGCTTTTCTAACAAAAAGTTCTCCGAACCATACATTTCAAGTGATCAACACACGTGCAAAGTGATTCAGACGCTTTAACTCAGTTCTTTCTTAGGTTTGTCAGACTACACTTTTTACCAACCAGATTCGCAACACTGTTTTCGAGCAAATTTATCTGTGAGCGAGGATGAGCCATATGATCTCTTAAGGAAAAATAATTATAAGTAAATAACCGTTAGACTTGCGGTAGCCCTACCAATAAGTCCCAGCAATTAAACTTTCGAAAAT